CTCCCCGAGATCACCACAGCCTCACCTCTGCAAGGGGGGAAGAGGCCACCACACCATCAGCACCCTCAGCACCAGCAACTCCCAGCTTTGGGGCAGGAAAACCGGGAGCCGACCGCAGGATCCGTTTCCCCTGAGCTCTGTACTTTGGTTTTGGGAGGTTTGTTGCTTTGTTTTTTTTTAATCAGCAGAAACTCCCAACCCCTGAAATTACTTTTCAGCCTTTCCCAGCCCTCCCACATCCCTGGATCTCTGCCCATCCTCCCTCCCCAGCACCAAGCCAGGGGCCAGCAGAGCTCCCCGTGCTCCCCAACTTGAACAGCTTTGTTGAGCTCCCAATCCCATGAAAAGCACAGGAAAATCCTGTCTCCAAGGCCTCTCTCCCTGCTCAGGGACCCCAGGGAGCAGGATCCATCAGGAGTTGGGTCCACGATCCTCGTGGGCCCCTTCCAGCTCAGGATATTCCATGATTTAAGTCTTTCTGCAAGGCCTCCCGACCAGCACCTCCCCTGCCCTCAGATCCAGAGCAGGCACAGATGCTCCTCAGCATTCCTGGCATTGCTGGTGCCTCCCCAAACTGCAGGAACCAGCCCATTCCTGAAGTAATTCCCAGACAATCTCCATCACGACCCCCTCCGCTTTCCCCAGGAACTCAGAGACAGCTGAGCCACAAGCCCACCAGCACCAAGAGCACCCTCCCTGCACCTCAACATCCACCAGAAAGAGCTGAATTGCCGCAGTTTCTCCTCAAAAATCCCTCAGCTGCCTCATGGATGGATCTTCCCCTCCCAGGATCCTGCACTGAGTCCAACAGTGCTTGTTTTCTGACCTTCCCCAGGTACAATCCTGGAGCTCTGGGAGTAGCTGGAACCAGGGAAAACCACTCCCAGAACTGCTCAAACTCGAAGTCCCCATTTACTGGGAATCAAGTGTTACTTCCTCCCTACCTGCAGCCACTCCAGTCAAACCCATTTACCAACCAGTCCCAGCCCACTAGGTCTCTAATTCTTGTTCCAGCTTCAGAGCTAAACCCGTGCCAAACTACCAGACCCCGATTTGGATGTCAAAGGGATTATGACAAGTGCCTGGCAAGCCAGGGAAGGGAAAACTCCTTAAACCAGAGGCAAAACCTACCTTGGATCTTTCCCTGAGATTGGGGTGCTCTGGGCTCTCAGGGAGGGGGAGAAGCACCAAGCGCCTGGGGGAGCTACGGGGGGAGCTCAGAGCCCTGTCTGGAACAGGGTGGGCTGGTCGGGGGTCTCTGTTTCTCTGAACTTTGGGGGTCTCTGTCCCCCTCACACCGTTTAAATCCAGGGGTAGTGCCTGGGGGACGCTCAGGGGTCTCTGTCCCACCGACCTTTGGGATGCTCAGGGGGTCTCTGTCCCTCTCACACCGTTTAAATCCCCATCCTGGGGAACGCTCAGGGGGCTGTGCCCCTCTCGTTCCAGGGGATGCCTGAGGTGGAGGTCTCCATCCCCCGCAGCCCGGGGGACACCCGTGTCCACCCGCGCACACCCACGCAAGGCGGCCGCGGGATTTCATCAGCCTGCACCGCCCGGCGCGGCCGCTGGGGGGGAAAGGGGGGTAGAACCGGCCCCGCTCCCCGGGGGGCACCGGCACCGGGCGAGAGCGACAACCGCGACCCCCGGCGCGGGTTCCATCCCCGCGGCCCCCTCCTCAGCCCGCACCGGGGCGGGCGGCGCTCCCACCGCCTCAGTCCCACCCCCCGCAGTCCTCCGCCCGTGGGGTTACCTGGGCGCGCTGAGGTGCAGGCGGCGGTCGCGGGGCCTGAGGGCGGCGCGGCCGAGGGCGCGGAGCGGGCAGAGAGCGGTTGCCATGGCAACGGCGGTGGGGACAGCGACGCGAACCCCGCGGCGACGACACCTGAGAATGAAAGCGTCGCGGGCCGCCCGCCCCTTATAGAGGCGCGCGCGCAACGGCGGGAGCCAATGGGGCGCCGAGCGGGCGGGAGCTGCGCGCTGCGATTGGGTGGAGGGAGAAGCGGAGGGCGCTGTGATTGGTGGGGAAGAGCACGGGGTCCCGCCCTAAGTAGGGTAAGGAGGCTCTGATTGGCTGAGCCCTGGCGGGGTGAAATACAGGAAGGGAGGGGGGTAAGAGGAGGGGAGAGGCGGGGATAGGGGC